AATATATTCTGTGTAGGCCAAAACACATCTGTTTGGCCATACTTGCAACCGCTAGTTTATGACCTCTGGCCTCAAATATTAAAAACAAAAGCACGTTTTTAAATTTCCCTTCCTATTTCTCAGTAAACTTAACAATCTTTTTTTCTCTCTCTCTTTTAGAACAAAAAGTTATTTTAACTTGTAGACTATAGGGAGAAATGAATCCAGGTGTTAGGAATAAATGCGTGCCTCCATCCTGGGGGAAGAGAAAGAATTCCCTTCTTTTTGGTTGGATCAACAACAACAAAGACAAACCACAAGGTAATTCTCAAATAGGTTGCATATTAAATTATTACTAATTGCCCTGCTGTAGTTACTGATATTCTTTTTTTTTTTCAAGTTTTATTTATTTATTTGATAGAGAGAGACACAGCGAGAGAAGGAACACAAGCAACAGGAGCGGGAGAGGGAGAAGCAGGCTTCCTGCAGAGCAGGGAGCCCGACGCGGGGCTCGATCCCAGGACCCTGGGATCATGACCTGAGCTGAAGGCAGACGCTGAACGACTGAGCCACCCAGGCGCCCCTGTAGTTACTGATATTCTTGATCGGGCATGTGAATTGAATATAAAATAATATACCACGCTAAGGAGTGAGTGGGATTCAATGTCCTTTCGGGCTTATGGCCAGCACCTGGACTCTCTCCTCTACTAATCTAAGAGGTCCAGGATAGTTCTGTTACCTTCGATAAAGGGCTTAGGAGGCATCCCCTCTCTTTCTGATTCTATGCATATACTCAAGTTTATAAAATTTGGGGATACATATGTCACAATGGGCTCAGTTTAAATGAGTGAAGGATTATGAAAACCAATGGATTATGAGTTCTTTAGAGATATTTTTAAACAACAGGATGCAGAATCATTCCACCACAGGATACCTCTCCCCGTTTCTCCCCCGCCTCTGCCCCACCCACCTTTTCCTACAGTTTTTATTTTAGGGCTTGTTTTTTAATTGATTCTCTTCTCTTTTCATCTACCTGCTGGCAGGTATTTCCACATTTTATTCATTAAATTAGAAGAAATATTCCAGGCATTCTGAGACCATAAGACTTCTTTCCTGCCCAAATTCCCTTTTGGCAGGACTGCTGTATATGTTAGTAGATAATGTGCACTGCACACTTTTTTTTTTTAAGATTTTATTTATTTTTTTATTTGAGACAGAGAGAATGAGAGACAGGGAGCATGAGAGGGAGGAGGGTCAGAGGGAGAAGCAAACTCCCTGCCGAGCAGGGAGCCCGATGCGGGACTCGATCCCGGGACTCCAGGACCATGACCTGAGCCGAAGGCAGTTGCTTAACCAACTGAGCCACCCAGACACCCTACTGCACACTTTTTAAGGGGTGCCGTTCATACTGCCATCTGTGGGGAAGGTCCCCTCCTGGAGTTGAACAGAGTTCAAAGGGCACAGCTGTACTTTTTGTCATTCCTCCTGGCTTTAGATCTAAGGACAAAGACAGTGACTTAATTAATATATTAGAACCTCCTCCTTACCTTCCCATAATGTATATACACAAAATCTGTGACATAGGTATATTGCAACATCTGATCATGTTACTTTTTTTCATTAAAAAAAATGTTTAATTTTTCTCCAATGCCTTCAGGATTAAGCCTGTTACCAGTGGATTCTAAAAGCATTGCACCGATTTTATCATGATCACTTGGATGAGTTTAAAAAAATAGAGTCCTAGACTCCAGATTGAAGATTCTGGCTGGAAAGGTCTCGAGTGAAGTCTGGGAGCAAGTGTTCTAAAAAGCAGCCCTCCAAAACACTGCTAGCTTGGGAATTTCTGATGCATAATCATGTCTAGGCAACACTGGTCTGTGTCCATGGTGGACTGCGAGGCCCTTCACAATTGGGCTTCAACCAACTTGAGTCGTTTCATACCATATATTGCATTTCAGCTTTTCTGGAATATTCACCATCACTGAATATACCATGCTCTTTGGTGCCTCAATTACATTACACATTCTTTCTGTCTGCAAGAGTATTTCTTGGATTTTTTTTCAGTCAAGTGAACTTTTGGCATCCTCTTGAATTGGATTTCTAGTACTCCCTCACCTAGAATCAATTGTTCCTGTCTCTAGGTTCTTAAAACAGTATGTATTCTAGAAGTGATCCTTGGGGTGCCTGGATGGCTCAGTTGGTTAAGCGTCCAACTCTTGGTTTTGGCTCAGGTCACAGTATCAGGGTGGTGAGATCCAGCCCTGCCCTGCATCAGGCTCTGCGCTGAGCGCAGAGTCTGCTTAAGATTTTTTCCCTCTCCCTCCACCTCTGCTTTTCTCCTGCTCACTCCCTCTCTCTCAAATAAATAAAATAATTTTTTTAAAAAGAAGTGATCTTCAAAAATTGTTGGTCAGATACTCACCCAAATTAGTTTTAACACTATGTACTTAACATCATAAGTTTATTTGCCTCATGTTTATATCATAAGTTTTAATCACTACCAATCATATAATTTCTAACATAGTAAAACATCAGCTCTTTATATTAAATGTATGTCATCACTTTAAAAAAATAGATCTAAAGTAATCTCAATACCTGTCTTAGGTTAGGTTCTTGCAGAAGACACCATTCTAGTGCAAGGGATTTATTAAGCAGGCGCTCCCAGGAGAAATGGGTAAGGAAATGGGAAAAACATGAGAGGAGTCAGGTGAAGTCCCAGCTTCAGTCTGATACTGTTGGGAGCTTAAACAGCAATTGCATGTCCAAGTTTATCCCATGTCTGTGCAGCAGAGTTGCCTTTTGAAGCTCTGCACTTGTCCTTATTGGCTGCGAGACAGTGGGTGTGCATGTGACAGCAGGGTGGGAGGTGGACAGGAAACAGACTTCCAGGCTTGTTCTTTCTTTTAGAGTGGAGAGGCTCCAGAAGCCTAAAGCAGGAGCAACAAAGCATAGGAGCTGGGAGTTGAGGCACAGCACTAAATAAAGGGAACTGTGGCTTTTGGGATAGGTTCCAAAGGTGTCAACAATATCCCACAAGGTGATGTTACCAATAATTTAAAAAATACATTAGACTTCGGATTCTGGAAGATGGAGTAGATATGCTTTTTCCCATTCCTTCCGCTAAGTACCAGTAAAAACTCTGGACATTATATATAAAGTAAACATAAGAAGACTGAAAGTGAAGAGGGGAAGGTGGACCGGCTAGGCATCTCAGGGCCTAAAGAACAACACAGTGGTAGGTTCTCTGGGGTTTCTTCTGACCTCACATATACTGGACGGGGAACTGGAAAAGCCAGGCTGCAGAAATGCCAGTGGGCTCAGACCAAAAAATCATCCCAGTAGAAGTCTGCTCTCTCTAGCCAAGGAAGCAGGAAACCGTGTTACAAGAGATCTTAGAAAGGAACAGTTGTACTGGAGAAGCCCCGCAGTTAGCTGGAGCTTAGCAGACAGGCAGGTTGGGGCAGGAGTTGGGAGTTACCGTCTCAGAGGTCAGAGCTTCTGAAATGGGTGAGATGGCTGGGATGAAGAGAGAAATGCAAGAAAACCAAAGACAGGAATATGGGAATGCCTACACGTTATTGCCCTTTGTTTACAATTAGAGAACAATTGGGTAGCTTTAAAAAAAAAAAAATACACATGCTTACTGTCCCTCCCTGGAAAGTCTCAGATCCTTTCTGTATTTTTGCAAAGTTGTAAAGATGATTCCAAGGTGCAATGAATGTTGAAAACTGTTAAAAGGTTTGAGAGCAAAAGATTTGAGGATTCACCATAATCGGGCAATTTAGAAGAAAGCATCCAGGATGCCCATGGGCGCAAGGTGATTAACAGCACCAAATGCTGCAGGTGGCAAGGGGATTGAGGACTCAAAGGAGCTTCTTTCTGGAACAATGGAGAAGACCGTGTTGGAAGACTTCCTAAATGTGGGATGCTAAAAGAAATTAGAAAAGTAAATATTAGAATCTTATTATAAAGGCCTAATAGAGAGCAGTTCAGAGATATGATAGAAAAAGGGAGTGAAGAAAAATCTCAAGAACTTTAAAACTCCTTGGACATCATCCCTGATGAATTTATTTAGAGGATAATAGATGTTTTTGAAGTCCATCTATTTTAAAAAGGCGAGTGCAAAATGATATGACAGAAGGCAAGCATGTGGGATGCAAATCTAACCATAATTTACATAAAAGCTTAGACAAATTATAAAAATATTAGGAAATGCCAAAATCAGAACTCAATGTTTATTATATAATTTTTTCTTGACATTCTGATAATTTTATCCTAGCATTTATTAGTTCTAGGGCTAACTAATAATTTCTTTTTAAATATAACTTTAATGATTTGATACTTTCTGAAGATACAGTATGAAAGCATCATTTTATAATGAAAATAAATGAGAGATAAATAGTAACACATATGCAAAAGTCTATTAATAACTTTATTTTTATTTGATGTGAAGCCGTCAGTACTCCTGTCGTGTAAATACAGCAGGTGTCAGAACTATTATGTAGAAGAGGAACTGGAAGGCCTTGGAAACTCGATGATTTGCTCAAGGACCTCCCCCCCCCGCTTTCTGGGTAGCAGCCAGAACTCGGACCCAAGTCTTGTGATTCCTTGAAACTTTCCAAAATAGTATATGAGGATTCTATAAGGATTCCAAGGTCTTAAATGATCATTTCTGACCAGGTTTAGTGAAAAACCAGGCCCACCCGTGTGGCAGAGACCATGCCAGTGGCAGGCTCTGGTTTGTGAGAAATAACGGGAAGAAAGGGTCAGGTATTTTGTCCTGAACAGAAAGCATATCAGTTGTTTTCTCCACAAAGTCAAAAGAAAGGGAAGGACTTGTTATTGGACTTCACGGCAACAAGAAGCAAGCTCATCCCCCTTTAAAGGCTGGAGGTTTCAAAGTGAAAAAAGAAGTAAAATGTTGTGATGATTTTTACTCAAACATTCCCAGTGTTAAGGTTCTCTTGAAAGAGTATTATAATTCTGTTTTGCAGAAGTAGAAATTGAAACTTAAAAAAGAGAGGCATTAAAAAGTCAATTTTATTTTTGCAATGAATCTCTATGTGACTAAAACAGATGGTATTTAATGAGCAAATATTATACAGAGCTATTTTAAAAAAGCTAAGGATTTCTCTAAATATAGAGAAAGAATAAATCTTGCTTTTCTGAATGGCTCATATACTCAAGAAACTAAAATACTCTTGTAAAGAGCAGCTTTGTATTATCTATTAGAAACATTATTCTACCAAGACCGAATCTTAGTAATCTTCAGGGAAGATAGTAACACTGATTCCTAGGTCATCATCATTTTCACATTCTTTAACATTTTCTTCAGTAAAACATTTGCTGTGTGCTTCTTCTGGGTTTCTTTTCTTCTTACGAGTATATGATGATTTATTTTTGTCTTTGATTTTCTCTTTGGGACGTGAGTTAGTAATGTTTTCTTTTTCCAAAGCATGCTGTAGGCAGTTATAAAGCCTGTAAGGAAATAAGTACTACTGTTATATCTGTGTTCTCAAACAGAATGGCTGAAATACATTTAGAACTTATAAATTTGATAATGTTCCATATTAACCTTAAAATATAAAATGAAGCAGAGAAATAATATGCTTCTTGCTTTTATAAGATCATTTAATTAGGAAGTGTGTTTTCAGTTCTTCAAGAACACTCCTGAAAATTGAGTTGGAAACATCTCTTGACAACCTGTATTCTACCTCAACTACTATTGCAGATGTAGGAGTCAAACAAAAAAGGTAAAAACAGAAGAGAAATTATTTTTCTTTATAAAAAATCATAAATGTAATAAAATCTCACTTTAGAGAATTTGGCAAATATATGAGGTTACAAATATAGACTACCTCTACAGAACTACCTAGAAATAACCTCTCAATATTTTTATTCTTTCCAGTTAATTAATGTATTCTGAATTAATATAATTTATACATGTACCCATATGCCTACTATCTTTTACAAAATTATTATATATAGTTTTACATTGTTTTATCAAATTTAATATTTATTGAAAACATTTTCTATATCATCAAATAAACTACAAAATAACACTTTTTAATGGTAGTGTAATATTACGTCATCTAGGTTGGCCTTAATTTATTTTCAAACTTTCTCTAATACAAACAACAGTGTGATGAACATTTTTAAAAATAATGTGATCTGAGTTTCTAGCTACATTTTTAGGACAGACCGCTAGAAATGTAATTACCTGGCTAAAGGGTATAAACATTGTAAAGCTCTTGATAAATACTACCTGTTTTCCAGAACAGATGTTCAAAAAATATGCTTCTAATAGCAGTACTTGAAAGATCACTTCACCCATACATTGAATATTACCATCAAAAACATACTTTACTTTGATAGGTGACAATGGTATCTTATTATTTTAATTATCATTTTTTTGTTTGCCAGTGAAATTGTTTTTCATGTGTTCATTAGCTATCTTGATTTCTTAAGTGTAAATTACTCTTTTCCTTTCCTCATTTTTCTACTTTAATTTTAGTGTTAACTTTGTGGTACAACAAACTGTTAGCTCCCCGAAAATTGGTCTTCATGTCTCTTCTACTCCCATGTTAACACCTAATACAATCCTCTGCCTGACACAGCAGCCTTCGGCACATGTGGGAGGGCAGCGAGGTGGCATGCGGTATCGCATGCGCTTCAGATGCCTTCCACTGGGAAAGCTAAAGGTAGGCTAATTCCAACCTTACTGAGTCTCGATTTCCTCATTTATCAAACTGGACATTATCCTGTACTGAGCTGGGTTGTCAGGTTACAGGTGATATATGTAAGGACCTAGCACAGTGCCTAGCACAAAGTAAGTTCTCAATATGACCATTTTTACAGAGTATAAATTCTATGAGACCAAGGATCCCATCTGTCTGGTTTTCTGTTACATTCTTAGCATGTAAGACAATGCTGGCACACTCAGTAAAAATAAGTGAATAAATAAGTGAATAAATAACCACTGAACAAAAAGGTGAATATGGATGTGTTATCCTAGGTCCCCAAGTAGAGGAATCTGGAAGCTGAGAACTCCCTTGCCATTGTGGGGATCTCATCATGCTTTTATATTCTATGATAATGGCAAAGTGTGACAGGGAATTTTTGGCACCTATGGAATAGATTGCTCTTTGGACCAATTTTCTTCTTTCTTTAATTCAGTGAATAGGCTAAGTTCTACTTGTAAAGGCTCTAAAACTGCCCTAAAAAACCCAAGATAATCACCAGTTTCCAAATATTCCACACAATTCTTTTTTTTTTTTTTTAAAGATTTATTTATTTATTTATTTGACAGAGAGAGAGATAGCGAGAGCAGGAACACAAGCAGGGGGAGTGGGGAGAGCGAGAAGCAGGCTTCCTGCCGAGCAGGGAGCCCGATGTGGGACTCGATCCCAGAACCCTGGGATCATGACCTGAGCCGAAGGCAGACGCTTAATGACTGAGCCACCCAGGCACCCTCCACACAATTCTAATACATACCTAACATACTTACTACATATCCTGTCCATATTTTAAGAACTTATGTACTCACCACTTAGGTATACCTTGATATCCAGCACCAGGCTTGGCAAATAATAGGTGCTCAACAGATATTTCTTCAGTGAATAAATCAATCTCAAAGAGGAGGTACAGGACAAGGAAAAGCAGTATAGTAGGAGGTACAGCAAAGGGCTTTGGAAAATACTGATGTGTAATTTTTTAGACCCTATTCCGTGGTAACAACCTTTTAATTTAATGCACCCCTATATCTTTACTTAGTTAAAACCTGGTTCCCCCACAAAGACAACCATCTGCTCTGCATTTCTCTCAAGCAGAGATGCTTACTCTTTCTATACCCCACCTAACACAGAGTTGGGATGCGGTCAGAACTGAGCTGGCTCACCAACATTCACCAGACCAAACTCCTTCATCTGCCCCTCATGCCATCTACCAATATTTCGTTCAGTCTCTTACATTTAGGAAAACTTCTACACTTGGCATGATCTTTCTCCAGGTCCTACCATCATCCCCGATGACTTTAATGACTGGTTTTCTTCTCATCTTTCACACTGCCTATTTACAATAGCTTAACAAAATGACCCAGTAGAATGACTCATTTTATCTAAAACTTGTAAGTCCAAAACTTCATGCCACCAAGTGGTGTGAATCACCCCTATCTGATCATAAGAGGCTATAGTGATGTGCAACTCCACTTTCTACCATTCTCCACCCAACCCTGAACTTCAGACTCAGGTCACCAAGTCTTTTTTCTGGATTATACTTTATTCCTAGAAAATTAAAGATAAGACTAAATTGCTCTTTTATGATCATAGAGAATTAATAGCTTGTGTAAAATATCTTGTCAATCACATAAAAAAAGTAATTAAAGAGGAACAGGTGCCTTACTTTAATCTTCCATTAAAGGACCTAAGAATTCACAGCTACATCCTTGGGGTACCAAAAACAGCTGGTAAAATGGAACAAAGGCCCTGTTGTCTGAAAGCCAAGAACAAATACTTCAAATACTTTTTCCTTTTGTTTTTCAAAGGGAATTTTTAAAAAGTTCTTTGGGAAACTATCTTTCTCAATAAGTCAGAAATTTGTTTTGCAATTACATGCTCTCCCCTCATAAAATGCCCCTCTATATAGCACTCTGAAGCCCAATTCTCAAAGTGCAATTTTCTCCGTTCTCACAGGCAACAAAAAGAACTCAGAAGATATTTTATCTTTTGAAAGGTATGCACAGGCAATTGTCTTCCCCACCCCCAAAGAAAATCAAACTGTCTTCAGTCTCTCTACTTCTGCAGTCAAGATTATCATGCCATGGGGCAACTTGTACTTAGTCTCTTCGTGACAGAACTTTTCAGACCTGCACTAGGAAAACGAATTCTTGTTTTTCAGGTCAGTTAGAGGACCACTTGATATTTCTCTGACTTCTGAAATAGGAACATAAAATTAATGAAATCTAGCCACAATTTCATACCCTTTTAGGGTTCCATTATTCACAAATAACAAAGAAGGCTATTTTCATGGATACGTATTTAGATTAACTTGATTAAACTCTAGCATTTTTATTAAAAAACAGGTATGTGATGGAGCCCGTGCCAGGCTCTGGAAAGAGAGGTAAAGGACCCGGTTGTGCTCTCAAGGAGCTCAGGGTTCAATGGGAGCAGCAGAACTGTAAAGACATATTCAGCATGCCATGAAGAAGACAAGAGGAACGGGGAGCATGGAGGGGGTTGGTACCCTGCTTCAAGTGAGATCATGAAATGCTCTTTGGAAAAACACCCAATGCCGGGGCTGAATTGCAAGGATGGACGGAAGTTGGCTAGGTACAGGAGAGGAAAAAAATGAGGGAACCGAATATCCAAGGGGGAACTATACAAAAATAAAGTTATGTGTTTTCACTTTATATTATTTGGTCCTTTGATCTTAAGTAATAGGGAAATGTGCGAGTTATTATTCACCTGTTTTAGTTCTATTTTAAAAATAAGACTAGCAATGACGAGGAGTCTAAGACATCTGTTATCCTTGCCTCCTCCTTCTTTCTACCCCCATTTCCAGTCTGTCACCAAGTTCTGTTTACATTCTGCACTATCACTCCCATTCATCTTGCTATTCAAGCTCCTGTTATTTCTCACCTTGACTATATAGCAAGAGCCTACACCGCTCACTCTTATCTCTAAGCCATCTTACACATCTTCCAGAATAATCATCTAAGGCTTTGAAGCCTTGTAAGTAGCACTACTGATGGAAAAATCAGTTAGCAAATTTAGAAAACATTTATTAACTACTATTCTCACACCAGACACTCAGAAAATGATAAATAAGAAACTGTCATTGCCTTTGGGGAACTCAATTTAATGGGTTAACTTTTAAGTTCCTTTATTGTTTATTATTAATTCAATAAACATGTACTGGTTTTCTACTATGAGCTGGACACTATCTTAGGTTTTGGGATAAGAAATATTTAAAGCGTGTATGTGTATGGTTGGTGGCAGGGAGAACTCAGTCCTATTTCCAATGTGACCACATTGTAGTGGAAGAAAAGGACATACATGCAATTAATGTTTCAATGTGGTTCATATTTCTGTTTTGCATTGAGGAATAAACTGTACCAATACTGGTAAATAGTAAGAAGAATCTGAACCAAGGAAATGGCTATGGGGTTGAGACTAGGACAAGAAAGTTAATCAGGAAAGGCTGATGGAGTATTCTAGTTAGATACATTCAAGCGGTTATTGGATATCTAGGCTCAGGACTTGGGAGAGATTTGGAAGACCTATCATTATATATGGGGAAGTAGCTGAAGCAATGGGCCAGGAGCGGCATTTTAGAGAACAATAATATTTAACCAACAGATAGACTAGTGAGGGAAATCCAGAAGGAAGCTAAGGAGGAGCACCACAAGCAGGAAGGAAAGCAGCAAAGTAATAACAGAATTTCATATACCTGCCAACAGGTATATGAAAAAATGCTCCATGTCATTAACCATCAGGGAAATGCAAATCAAAACCACAGAGATATCTCACACCTGTCAGGATGGCAACTATCAAAAAAACCCACAAGAGACAACAAGTATTGGCAAGGATGCTGAGAAAAGGAATGCTTGTGCATTGCTGGTGGGAATATAAAATAGTGCAGTTCCTGTGGAAAACAGCACAGCAGTCCTTCAAAGAATGAAACATGGAACTACCATACGAATGTAGCAATTCCCAACAGAACTGAAAGTAGGACTCAAACATCTGTACACACTTGTTCATAGCAACATTATTCACAAAAGCTTAAAGATGGAAAAATCCCAAACGTCCACTGATAAGTGAATGGATGGATAAATAAAATGTGGCATGTAAATACAGTGGAATATTATTTAGCCTTAAAAAGGAATGAAATTGTGATACATGCTACAACATGGACACACTCTGAAGACCGTATACTGAGTGAAATAAGCCAGACACAAAAGGACAAATATTACATGATTCCACTTATATGAGGGACCTAGAATAACTGAATTCATAGTAACAGAAAATAGAATAGTAGTTACCAGGCGCTGGGAGTCTGGGGAATGGGGATTTATTGTTTAACGGCTACAGAGTTTCAGTTTAGGATGATGAAAAGGTTCTGAAGATGGACAGTGGTGGCTGCATAACAATGTGAATAATAATGCCATTGAAATGTACAGTTAAAATTGGTAAGTTTTATGGTATATATATTTTACCATAAAAAAGAAAAGTTTTAAAAAAATAACCAACCATTGGAAATAGATTCATTTACTTTTCTCTCCAATTTGCTTTATCAACGGTATTATATGCCAATGTATTCAGCCCTTTTACTCTTTACTTAGCATTTTCTTACTACACAGTTGGTGAAGAGAAGAACATGGTTAATTTTGTTGTACTCAGAGTCAAATGGTGGTTTCTTCTGACCCAAGTCAGTCCTGATCTCTTATTAACAGTCCAAAGATAGCCTTCCTCTTATAATTGGTAAAGAGATCTCCAAACCTCATATTTTTTAGCTGGAAATCATTATATATAAAATTATCTTCTTTCCACTAAGAAGTGGGCTTGGGAATTGTTTCACACAAACCTTTTTTTGTATTAAAAATGTTTTACCTCTTAACTTTGATTTTTACATTTCTAGGCTATTTCTTATTGCTGAAATGTTACTGATTAGGACTTGACTTTTAAAAATTCTACTATAGTTATTTGAATTGTGAACCTTTGGTCCTGTAACAAACCAATTTTAGTACTCAAAGTCTGATTGCAGAACTTATCACCTCCAGTATTTATTATTTTTTTCACTTTTCCACATCAGAAGGGTAACTTTCTCTCTGCATTTGGTTGAATGTACAGCTGTTCCCAAAGGAGCTCTCTAATTTGTTCCCCCTTTCTAAATTCACATGTAATCTTCTAATCAGTATCTTAAGACACTTTTTACCCTTCTTTAATTTTTCACTGATTTTGTATGATGAGCATGGCTCTCTTGATGGCAGCATGCACACTATAATCTCCAAACATATTTTTGAGTCAATGGATTTAAAGTATAATTTGATTTTATAGTTGGTGAACGTGGCTCAATTAACTTCACCAGGTGTATAGTTAGTTGCTCTTGGGCTATATTTATAATCTTGTTGAAATTCAAGTAAGGAAACAGAGAAACTGATTTGTTACTTCCCACATTTTAGCAAAGAGTCTCACTGGAATACAATCTAAGAAACGTAGTAAACTTACGGAACGGTACCAACAAGTACCTACATGTAGTTCAAACTCTGTAGTCTGGTGAAGTGGCTGGGTGCTCCTCAGTACTTACTTGAAATTACCACTTCATTTAGAATGTTTGCTCAAAGCACCTGGTAGCCAGGCAACCCCTCAGCTTTTTTCAACCAGTGTTCTAGAAAATTAAGCTCCAATGCCCTAAGCCATCCATTGTCTATAATGGGTTAACTTCTCCCCAATGTATCTAGAATGGAAGATATATACCATTTTTGCAAGAGAGAAAGTCACTTGAATAATTTCGTGAATTCTATCGTTCAAATGAGGAGTCCTGGTTAAGAAAGCCTGGATGGTTTGTAATGATGTGATCATAGGTTTATTTTCTATATGTGTCAATGAAGAAGGAAAAGAGCTACCCTATCCTGAGAATCCATGACATGACAGGGATAGGGCCAGTCATTATACAGATGCTATTTATACTAAAACTGTTCTGTAAGACAGGTATTTCTCCCAAGTTAGATAAAAGAAAAATGAAGTCAAGAATGTTGAGTAAGTGTGGTGGAACCTGGATTCAAATTCAGTTCTGCCTCTGGAACCAAATTCTACCTCTTTCCACCATCGTACACTGCTACCATTAGCACTTGTAGCCTTAGCTACTTTTAAAAAAAAAATTGTAGGTATTAAAGAATTTTAAGCAGGCAAGTAAAACACTAGGACTTCTTTGCACTTTACAGACAGGATTCTGATGGTGATATAGAGAATGGCTTGGCAGAGAGACACACTAGAAACATTCTACTATGAGACCAGCTAACAAGGCTATTGCAGTGGTCTTGAATAAAGAAACTGACAGTACAGATGGGGAGAGAAGAATGATTTAAGAATTATTTAGGCAGTGAGTGACTCATCGTGAGGTAGCCAAGGAGGTGGGGAGAAGGGGAAAGGACATTATAAATGACAACAAGTTGGCCATCACTCCTTGATAAACTCAGAAGCATGCACCTTGCTGATGGCAGATCGCTGGCATTCCTTTCATCTAAGAAAGACAGCATCATCGTCACTTCTTTATGCCAAAAACTCTGTTTTTATGAAAAAGTTGAAAAGAAAGTAATGTAAGAGTTTTATTTACCAGGAGGTAAAATTTAAGGAGAAGAGAAGGTATAAAGATATAAATTGACAGTCATGATCCTGGGGTAGTCATGATCCTGGGATCCATGATCCTTCCGGGGACAATTATGGCAATTCTAGATCTAATCCATAAGAATCAGCCACATATGTAAAATATTTATTAGGCTAAAATTAACCAGGTTGCTTTCCTCAAAAGGAGATTCTGGATAATCACCAGTAGATCACATTCAGGGGGCAGTGTGTACCTCTTCCCTGGCTGCCTTCAACTTGATCAGTTATGGTCCCCATTGCTGTTGGGCTCTCTTACCTGAGGGATTATGTTTCTCTCCCTTTATCCCTGTTGCTGGTAGTCATGTCCCACTATCCCCCATGTATCCTCCCTTTACACTGCATTTAGTACCTTTTACTGTCTGGGCTACTCTCATCTGTTACTTTGATCATTTTTTTATTATCTGAGATAAGACTACAAATAGAAAAGCAGTTGGGAGTATAAACTGAAGATGGTGTGTACCAGTATTTTTAAATATGGCCTAGATATATAAGAATAACATAGAAATATCCAATTAACATACCTTTCAATTCTCTTCTTGTTTTCCTCCATTTTTTGATTTGCTATCTTTAACAGAAATTCAATATATTCCTCGGTTACCATCAGTTTTCCCTTATGGCTTAATGGAACTTCTAAGCCATGTGTGCTCCGGATAGCCTACAAGGAACAAACAATTTTAGATATAATGACTTATGTACTAGACACACTGACAATAACTAAAGAACAGTCCCAGTCAGGGCTGTGTTTAAACATAGTTTGGTTCCATTATAGGATTTAAGTTTATGCTTCAATATACTTTAGCTAAACACAACTGAATCGAAGGAGATTAAATACATTTTCCCATCACATAAAGTTATTTCTTAAGACGGGCGCCTGGGTGGCTCAGTTGGTTAAGCGACTGCCTTCAGCTCAGGTCATGATACCAGGGTCCTGGGATCGAGTCCCGCATCGGGCTCCCTGCTCTGCGGGGAGCCTG